TAATATTTAAAAGTCTTTTAAGATTAATACTTTCTTTATATTTTATATAAAAGTTATAAGTAAATCCTATAATTACTCTTATATTATTATTTAAAGTTATAATAGATTATATATAAGAATTAACCTTTATTTTTTATTAAAGGCTAATTTTATAAAATATACTTTAGTAAGTTTAAAAGAGCTTTTTAAATTTTATAATATCTTAATTTACTATTTATATTACTTAACTCTATAATAAGTATAGTAAGTAGCTTTAAATATAAATTATACTTTTAATTCCTTTTAATTATAGCTATCTCTTTTATAAACTATATAAATTCTACTAAGAAATTAGTAAAGCTAATCTTTAACTTTATTATTAATCTATAATAAATAGTATAAGTCTTAATATATTAATTTAGGTTTATAAAAATAGTCTTTAAATAAATAATTATATCTTTACTATCTATATAAAGATTACTTAAATTAGAACTTATTTAAAGTATAATATATAACTAAGCTTTACCTTTATAATAGCTTTATATATAAAGTTTATAATAAATTAATAGTAAGTAATAATTAATATTAACTTTTAGCTTTTAATATATAATAGTTTCTCAGGTTTTAAATTAAACTAATTTACTATCATTAAATATTAAAGTATTTAGTATTTTTATAATCTTTTTATTAGTAACTACTTTTATCAAGATTTTAGGATTATCATCTTAATATAGAATCTAGAATATAAGGTTACTATAATCTTTAATTATAATATTATAGTAAGTAATTACTTAATTATATTTAATCTAGAGATTCTTAATAATTTTATTAAAATCTACTCTCTCTATTATAAAGACTACAATTTTATCCTTAAGCTTTTAATATTAATATTCTAATTACTTATATTAGTAGATAAATTCTTAGAAACTCTCTTAGAAAGGGTCTTTATTAATTATTTATATAAAGAGGATAATTCCTCTCTAGTATTATCTTTATTATTATCTTTATTAATTTTTATTAATTTTATTAAAGTCTCTAGGTCTAGAGTATAGATCTTATATTTAAGGGTTTCTTTAATATTATTAGGTATAGTAGTAACTAGCTACTTACTATAGTTTATTAGGTTTTATTAAGTCTCGACTATTCTAATTAGTTAAGCTAGATTTAGTTTAATTTAAGTTAAGTCTTAGCTTATATAATACTAAGGAACGGGAAGTAGGGTAAAGTAGGGCTAAGACTAATTATAATAATAGTCTGTATAATCTTACTACTAATAGAATTAAGAGTAGTACTTAGTATTATATTACTAGCTAGTTCTTTAGAGTAAAGAGTATATTCTAATAAAAATACTAAGTATAGAGAAGGAAGGAAAGAAAGAAGAAAGAAAGAATTAAGTCTATAAAGCCTTTATAGGTCTCTAGCAAATAATAATAATAAACCATATAAACACCTAACTCCTTCTATCCGAATCCGGAATCCTAACCAAAGTCGGGATCTAATAGCAGAATCCTACCCGCAATACTCCTAGATCGTGATATCTTTACTATAAAGATTATAATTTTATCTTTAAACTCTTAGTATTAATATTCTAATTACTTATACTAGTAGATAAGTTCTTAGAATCTTTTTTTAAAAAAGGGTCTTTATTAGCTATTTATATAAAAAGGATAATTCTTCTTTAGTATTATCTTTATTATTATTCTTATTGGTTTCTACTAATTTTATTAAAGTCTCTAGATTTAAAGTATAGGTCTTATATTTAAAGGCTTCTTTATTATTATTAAGTATAGTAGTAATTAATTACTTACTATAGTTTATTAGGTTTTAATAAGTTTTAATTATTTTAATTAGTTAAACTAGATTTAATTTAGTTTAGGTTAAGTTTTAGTTTATATAATACTAAAGAATAGAAAGTAGGGTAAAGTAAGGCTAAGATTAATTATAATAATAGTCTATATATTCTTACTACTAGTAGAATTAAAAGTAGTACTTAGTATTATATTACTAGTTAGTTCTTTAAAGCAAAGAGTATATTCTAATAAAAATACTAAGTATAGAGAAGGAAGGAAAGAAAGAAGAAAGAAAGAATTGAGTCTATAGGGCCTTTATAGGTCTCTAGCAAATAATAATAATAAACTATACAAATATTTAACTCCTTCCCTCTACACTCGGAACCCTAACCGAAGTCGGGATCTAATGGCAGAATCCTATCCGCAATACTCTCAGATTGTGACATAAAGTAGATTCGAAAATAGCTAAGGCTATTATTATTGATAGCTTCTAGCTAGATATATAAATAAGAATATTTAAATTTATATAACCCTAGGAAAATCTAGACTTTGATTATTTAATACAATATACTATTATATAAAAAATATAGAGGAAAATTGTCAGATGATCACATGATCGTCTGTATGCTCTCAGGACCTATTAGTCTAAAACTGTAGATAGCTTCTTTTCTCTCCTACGCATCTCAATTATTTCATCCAGATATTTACTGCTCCCTAGTAATTTATCTATTCTCAAAAATATAAAATAATATATACCCCTTAAGGTTACGAGTCTAGGTATGTTTATATTATTTAATATCTGTTAGATATCCGTAAATATCTAATGGATATAAGGTCTATATCTAAATCCGTAAGGCTGCGGATCTTGGATATTAAAAAATATCTATATCCGCAGTTTACAGATATGGATTGTAGATATCCGCGGATATTGTAGATCGTGCCGTAGTCTATACTAGCGATATAGATATCAATTTATATTCGCAAATGGCGGATATAAGGATGGATCTGATATTCATTGGAGCGGATATACCGCAGTCTATTTATCAGTATCCAGGAGTTAAATAACTAGCGAGCGCTTCTCGCTCTTTACAAATATACTCATTTTACCTTTTGCTCCGTACAGTAAGCTTTTGGCATAAGTCATCTTTAGTACTCCCGTCCGGCAAAAAATATTTAGGCTAGTGCAGTCCAACACCTAAAGGCGTAAGTTAGACCAAGTGTAGAGCCGGCTATCTGAAGGAGTGGGTGAAACACGATCTGTCGCAGGATTTACATATTACACGAGTACACCATCCACCCCCGGGGGGTGTTTACATTTTCTGCAATAGGGCTGTATTATTAATAGTGGTTCCATTGAAGATCTAAACGGTATTGAAATATTAAATACATTATCACATTATTATCCCGAAGATAATAAGCATCATGAGAAACTACACACTCATTGGACAATATCCAAGGCCGAACACCTAGACAAATACCCGAATAGGGCTTTTTGAGGGCAAGCATAACGTGCACGGAGAACGGCAAACATGCGAACTGATTACTGGGCCTTCGAAACCTTGGCTTTGTTTTCCCTTCGGCGCTTCAGCGCATCTGGAGTGTACTCCGTGTCAAGAACATAATCCCACCACCGGAAGCTGCTGGAATAGTTGCCGATGAACTTCTCATGGTGGAGATCGTGGTGATCGGCACCAGCCCAGAAGGGTAGGAAATGGTGAAGACTCCATGGGAATTCATAACCACTGTGAGCATCAATGGCCTGGAACAAGCGTAAGACGATCCAGATGTACATGGTAAGAATGTGCAGTTCGCCTGTCATAGCACACCACACGATTGGGCACCCGATAGTTCCGAAGCCCAGGATCATCACTTCAATCGGCGAGGCATATTCAGCAGCCAATCCGAAAGGAGCCGAGTACTGGTGGTGGATTTTGTGAATAGCCTTGTAGAGTGGACCCCAATGAAGAGCACGGTGGGAGAAGTAATGCCAGGTATCCTCCATCACAAAGAAGATTGCAATCTGATATACCATGGTCCAAAGGCTAGGGAATGGGATCGAGGTTGAGAGCCCACAGAATTGTGCCAAGGGGTGGAAGAGCCTAGCATACACGTTAGATCCTCAATATTTCCCCCAAAAAATGCAAGATAATCTTACCAGATCTGGGGCAGTTCGACAGTGAAATGACTCAAAAGGACGAATTTGGCGCAATCCCACTGTTCCCGTAGTGACGGAATCTTGTTCTGGACGGTATTAGAGGCAAGCCAATTGATTGAAGGGTGTTACTTACGCCCTGAATCTTGTAGCGATTGAACAGGCCCAATGTATCGATGAAAATCCAGGGTAGCGAGCGACCGAAGTAGACTATTTCATGCATGGCGAACGACATAATTCCAGTGGCCAGGACATCATTCTGCATCCAAGCGTACCAGGCTGCCCACAACCTCTCTGCGACATTCAGGTCGGCATTGTATTTGCCAATTTCCTCGAATTGGCCCCAGTATGTCCCTGAGGACAAAACTGTCGAATTCCTATAAGAGATGTTAGGTACAATGACAGGTAAAGGGCATGATCACCGTACATTGTAAAGGTTGTTGTTTTTTTGGTTTCCCCAGAAAGTAAAGAGAAGGAAAATTAGAAACCAGGAAGCAAGCAGAAACCAGAAAGAAGAAAGTGAAGATAGATGTCAAACCACAGCCAGAGAGGTTATAAAGAAAAAAAGGAGAAGATTAAGAAGAGATAAAGGATAGTCCAATCCCGACGTGGCGAGATCACCTTTTTTTTTTTTTTTCCCCTGAACGTAGGGGTAAGGCCACTGGTAAGCCGATATCCGAGATCACCCCACCTGCATAAAATCAGGTAATATAGAATTTGCTGGTTTTTGTTTGGTTGAATTCCAATTCTAAGACTATAAACTGTTGTATAGACCTTACGATAATTTTATGTTTGACTTATTCTTTTTAAGAGATTGGCTCCAAAACTACTCTATATGGAGTACCCCATACACATTGACATGACCCTGTCCAGGATGTTTTCTACTGTGTAGGCTCAAGTACGGTTTGCATGGTTTGCATGGTTTGCATGGCTCACTTTTTTGCACTGTTTGCACAACTCTGCATGACGACATCAACCTTAATCCTTCTGTTATTTCCTACAATCTCCATAACTATATACCGCTTTAGGTATTATGGTCAGCTTTGGGGGTGTATTTCATACCATTGGAAGATTCTGGGATGTCTGTTATACGAGAGTGAGTGTGATTTGATTTCCCGAAAAAAAAAGCCCCTACTCAAATTGTTCCTTCTGCAGAACTGTTTGTGGCATCAACACTCAGCTTGATCGCCTCCAACAACAGATTGCAAGCCCGCAGGGATTAGATGCCGCAGAATTATCCACCGAGTCTCTTGAGTCAATTAACCAATTGCAAGATCTCATCAACTCCATTTCGGTGACTTCGAAGACACAATCCCTTCTATCTCCCGGTCGGTTGGCAGACTTACTTTCGGATACCTTCTCTCGCCTCCAAGTACAGGCCACTCCCAGTGAAGGAAACAATACACAACTCTCGGACCATGTATGGATAGTGGCTGCAAAGGCTGCCATTCAGGCATCAGGACTGGTCATGAACACCTTCCTGGATCAAACACTTCAACTTCATGATGAGACCTATTACTGGGGTGAGATGCTGGGATCTATCTGGTATAGCGGTCTGTATGCCGTCCAGAAATCTCCCGCGGAATTCTGTTTGTGGACTCAGGATGCGTGCGTCGCTCAGACCTCTCAAGGGGCCCCATCCATCACTGCTAGGTGGACCCGATTTTACCAGATTGCCTGCCAGAGTTCTTGGAAACTCGGTGGGCACTCCATACGCGCCAAATTGCTATCTCCGATTAGATTATCTCGGGCAGAAATGCGACAGAAACGAGACTTGCTCCTGGGATTGAAAGACCTCCATACCAGCAGCCTTGGCCTTCTGATGGAGGGATGGCATCTTTTTGAAGCGAGTAACTCCGCTTCCTTGTGCCCCGGGACTATCAATGTCAAATGGTGCGATTCAGTTCACAGAGCGGTGGTTCTAATTGAAGCCATCTTTCAGCAGATAGCACTTGAGCCTAGTACTCACGAGTTGGAACAGGGAATATTTGCCACTCTAGAGAGGGATATTGACAGCATTGAAATGCACATACAAGGGCAGAACCCAGTGCAGAGACCTTTGGACTTGATTGAGCGACTTGTGCATATTCTTCGAGAGAAGCTGCCAAACCATACCACTTCAATGTCGTTGTTCATTCGTCGCCATGGGCGCCCTTCACGCATCATCCGATATTGGTTACCAGTCTCAGCTGCTCTCCTTTCAGGAAGTGTATCAATGAAATTTTTGACCAGCCGAAAAGAGGAAATCATCCAGTCGATTGTCAATATCGGTTCCACCACTATCGATTTCTGGGGTAATTGGGTTGTGCACCCAATCCGAAAACTCATCGGGACGATCAGACATGATGAGAAAAGCGAGATTGCGATAATGAGCAAGAATAGCCTACTGGCTGATCGGGCGAGTCTAGAGAGAATGGTAGTGGATTTTGTCCGCGACCGCCCGGATCTTCAACAGGGTATTGTGGCGGATACCACCGCCATCGTGAATTCTGTCAAGGAGGGTGATCTGACTCCCGTTCTCAAAGCGTATGAAAGGGATCTGCGCTCGCCATTCATTGGAACCGTTAGAGGCGATCTCATTCGCGCCCTCCTGATCCAGATCCAGAAGACGAAGGTCGACGTGGAAATTGCCATCAGTGGTATCGATGCTTTGCTGAAGAGCCAGGAGCTTGTATTTGGGTAGGTGTCCCTTTTTTTTTTTTTTTTTTTTTCCCTCAATATTCTCCCCTTTATCTTCTAACCATTTCTGTTATTTAGATTCGTTGGGTTGACTCCTGGAATCTTGGTCTCTTTTGCGACCATGAGGTGGCTAGGCAGCCTTCTCGGCAGCCGACGAGGTTTGCGAAAGGGCAAGCAACGACATGAACTAAAACGTGGATTGCGGTATGATGTTCTCAAATTGGTGTATACACATGTAACTTTTCACGCTAATTTCAACCATGCAGGAATGTGGCCCGTATTTTGACTTCTTCTGCGATTTCATCCAATGGGACTATCGCTTACAAGGAGTCTGGACAATTGATCTGTGAGGCAGAGGCTCTCCTTCAGCACGTGAAGATAATTGCTGGAAGTATGCAGTACGAAGAGTTCCGAGAAGATATCCAAGATCTTTTGAATGTTCAGAATGGAGTGGACAAGCAAATTCGCGTGATCGAAAGGATGAGATGGACCTATTTCCAATAGGTGTTGACATTATCCGCAAATACTTCGATTCTTATAGATTAATATTACCATACATACGCAAGTCCATCTTATATACTACCTTCTCGGTTCCTAAAAATGTACCAAAAAAAAAAAAAAAAAGATGTTAATACTTTATGAGACTTCCATCAATTATTAAAAAAAATAGATGCATACAACATACACATTAACATGAATATGTTATTGTCCCGATGCTGCTTACATAAATCCTTACCGTTGCGCTACCGTCATCATCTCCACTCCGGCGGTGCATCGTTTGACCTCCTTTCCCATAAAACACTCCAAAATTTTGAGCTCATGTATGCTTGATTGTGGATCTCTGCTTGAAATCTACGCCCCTTTCATATACCCTTTTATCGACCTCAGCTCCAGCATTCGGCCAAAGTGATAACTCGGGGCAACTTGGGAAAATCAAGCTGATTGCTCCGATTCATCCTGCTACATCTACTTCTCCCCCATCACTTCATCAAAACTAACACCTCTTGTCACCTGACCTGGCGAATTTCTGGATCACCTCTCCTATCAATCAGCGCTGCTAGCTTTGGCGCTTAACTTCTACCCAAATATCGCCATAATCCATAATGGCTGGCACGCGGAATTATGATTTCCTGGTCAGTATCCGTTGAAAATGCAACAGAATTTACCTCTAAGAACTCCAGTGTTAACTTTACCATAGATTAAACTCCTGTTGATCGGGGACTCGGGCGTGGGTAAATCATGTTGTCTATTGCGATTCAGCGAAGACTCCTTTACCCCATCATTCATCACTACAATCGGGATTGATTTCAAGATTCGTACGATCGAACTGGATGGCAAGAGAGTGAAGTTGCAGATCTGGGACACTGCAGGCCAGGAGCGCTTCCGGACTATCACGACGGCATACTACCGGGGTGCCATGGGTATTCTGTTGGTCTACGACGTGACAGATGAACGATCATTCCAAAGTAACATTCTCTCCCCTCTCCCAGTGAAATCTATGGCTGATCATTTTTAGACATTCGGACCTGGTTTTCAAACGTTGAGCAACATGCGAGTGAGGGTGTACACAAGATTCTTATTGGAAATAAGTGTGACTGGGAGGAGAAAAGGGCAGTCTCTACTGAACAAGGCCAGCAGCTCGCTGATGAACTTGGCATTCCCTTTCTCGAGGTCTCAGCCAAGAACAACATCAACATCGAGAAAGCGTTCTACAGCCTTGCATCGGATATCAAGAAAGGGATGGATACTTCCAAGACCGAACAATCTGGTTCTCAGGGCGTTAATATAGACCAGCAAGGCTCCGGTTCGAACGGCAACTCTGGGGGCAAGTGTTGTTAGTTGTATCATCACCCTTTTGTCTTTTTGTCTTTTAAGCTACATGTTTCTTATTTCCCCTCTTTTTTTTTCCATCGATATCTCGTTTTTTGTTTTACATTATCATGTGCCAAGACCTGAATGTCCAAGTTTTTATGCCTGAAGAGGTGAAGTATCGTGTCCATATCCTGTTTTTGATATTGTAGTTATAAATTTGTTATAGGGTACATATATATGTTTATATATAGTAGTTGGCATACCTTTATACCTATAATCCTCTGGAGAATATTATTCACGACCCACTTTTAAATATTTCCATTCCTCTTTTTTCTATTTTCTATTTTATTCCTTTCAATCTTCTCTTCAAGTGAAGATCTTTCTTTTTCAGACCAGATTCTGTTCTTTTATTTATTTTTTCTATTCCTTCGGAATTGCCCCTCCCCCTCCCCCACCCCCCCCAAAAAAAAAGGAAAAAGGAAAAACTCCTATGGATGATTTTTTTTTTTTTTTCCCTTTTTAATGTAACATTCCTTTAAACATACCGACACAGACATTTCCGAGAATATCAACCTTCCTATTCCATATGTCTGAAGCTCGCCTTTTCACTGCTCGTCCATTGTCAAAGCAGCAGGCACGGAAGGATCTCAAAGATGCATTTCGTGTCTATCTATCTTCCTCGTCGCTAGCTGGTCTAAGGCTTCAAACAGAGAGCATCTGCACACTGAAGCAAGGTGATGGCCCACCACAGACTGCCATAGCATGGTACGCGTCAGAGAATATTCAGAGCACAGTTGTGCAAATATCAAGGACACTCCAGGATTGCTATGACATCAAGATCGGAGAGAAAGTTTCTATCACTAGGGCTGAAGGCTCCCTAGAAAACATCGATCTAGTGACATTAGCGGATTGCTCAGACCCCGAGAAAATTGCCAAACATGGCATAATTTCAGAAAATGATAGATCCCACTGGGAATGGGCCCTGGAGGAAAAGCTTCTCCGATGCGGGTGTTTGACGACAGGCTTGGCTTTTGAGCTGGAGCTCAAGAGCCAACTCAGGAGTTTTCGAGTGGTTAACATACATTCACAGAACCCCCAGTCTAGTCATACACTTTTTCAATTCACAGAGGATTCGAAGGTTTCCCTTGGTCCAGTCACAGAAAGAAAAGAAGAAAAATCATCAGGTATAGCGGTGCAGTCGACTGGCCTTGGAGGTCTCTCCCGCCAGCTTGACGACATCAATGAAATCTTGTCTGATTTTAACATTGACCCGCGGAAGCCGGCGATGCCATCATTCTACGAGAAAACCCGAGGGATTTTACTCTATGGGCCAAAAGGGACTGGCAAAACAAGTCTTCTAGGGCAGATTGAGAAGGCTGGCTGGAAACAAACATTCAAAATCGACATGTCAACATTGGGCAGAAGTATCAACGAGGGCGAGCTTAAGCTGCGCAATATCTTCCAGGAGGCAGCTCGCTCTAATCCCAGTGTTATCATCATCGACCAGTTGGAATTTATTGCCCCCAAGCGAACCTCAATTGAGTCTCAGTCTCTTGCATCTGTCCTTTGCGAGAATCTAGATGCTATCCGAAATACATCGATCCTCGTGGTGGCTGCAACGAGGAACCCTAATCAAGTCGATGACGCCCTCAGAACGCCCCACCGACTAGGGACAGAAATTGAGATACAAGTCCCTACCGCTCAGGACCGAGCTGAGATACTCCATGCCATTCGCGGGCCAGTGTCTGCCGGTTTGACCGACGAGCTCGTAGAAATACTAGCAGAAAAGACGCACGGATACGTTGGAGCTGATATTTTCGCCCTTCTGCAATTGATCTGCCGCAAAGCCCGACGACGAGAACTGCTAGGGCAGAATTCCACAGCCATATCGGCCACCCTGGCCGACCCATATAGCTGGCACCACGGAGGTTCCATCGATGATGAATCGGCCATCCCATTGGAGATACAAGAGACAGACATTCTGCTTTCCCTGCAGGAGATTCGTCCCACGGCCATGCGGGAAGTGTTCTTGGAAACCCCAAAGGTGAGATGGTCAGACATCGGTGGACAACATGATATCAAAAGACGCCTCCAACAAGCTGTTGAGCGGCCCTTGAAGGTAAGATTTGTCTTCGAATCCCAGAGAACCAATGTCTCAAAGACTAATTTCTTTATCCTTTGAAAAAAATCTAGTATCCCCAACGGATGAAGAGACTTAACGTGAAAAGTAAAAAGGGTGTTCTACTGTATGGGCCACCAGGTTGTTCCAAAACATTGACAGTCAAAGCCCTAGCCACAGAGGCGGGGTTGAACTTCCTGGCAGTCAAGGGTGCAGAGATTCTCAGCATGTACGTTGGAGAGTCTGAGCGATCATTGAGAGAGATCTTCAGAAAGGCCCGGGCAGCACGACCAAGTATCATATTCTTTGATGAGATTGATGCCATTGCTGCTCGACGCAGCACTAGCTCGGGGGGTGTCAATCTTCTTACGACTTTGCTCAACGAAATGGACGGTATCGAGGAGCTTCGAAATGTGTTGGTCATTGCCGCAACCAACAAGCCCGATGTTTTAGACCCAGCATTGATGCGACCCGGGCGATTGGACAATATCCTTTATATCGGCCCTCCGGACTTTGAGGCGCGAAGGGAAATCTTGCGCATTTGGGCCAAAAAGTCTGTGCTGAACCCTGAAGTCGACTTGGATAACCTGGCAGCTCTGACTGACGGCTATTCTGGCGCTGAGATTGTGAGCATCTGTGAAACTGCTGGAGATGCAGCACTTGATGAGGAGGAGGAAACACAGCAGGAGCAAGATGTGCAGTGGAAACACTTTGAATATGCGCTCGGACAAGTGCGGCGGCAAATCACTGATACTGTCATCCAAGAGTATGAGAAATGGAGAGAGACCTAGACATAAGATCAATACATATTCAATAGATTTGTTGTACAAATAAAAGTCAAAAAAGTTCTTGAAGCTGAAGTGTTGAAGTATAATATAAAGTGCCTTGGAGGTCCCTAGGTGATTACCGAATGAAGTTAGTACCAAAATGAATATCCCTTCCCTTCAACCTCTCCTCTCTTTCTCTCTTTCTCTCTTTACTATTCCAACTTCTTCCTTTCTATCGCTTTTTGAATTTTTCTATTTCAATTCCCATTTTATCTACAGTGGCTTAATCATTTTCAATTTGTACCGCTTGAAGCCCTGGTATTCAATTGGCGTGCTGTGCGCTGAATCTTCAACATGTCCTTGAGATCACCTCGCGACCAATCACCTCTACAATCACCGGATCAGGACCGAGCACGGTCGCGATCTTTACGTCGTTCGAAACCCCGAAGCGAAAGCCCATCCCAAAGTCTCACCCGAAGTCCATCACAAGGACGACGCGATCGCTATCGTTCAAAAACTCGATCCAGATCCCCATCTCGTGGCAGGACACGATCTCGCAGTCGCAGTCGAGGTGGTCGCCGTTACAATAGTCGGAGTGAAAGCCGATCACTTACTCCCAATCCCAGTCCTCCGAGAAGTTCCAAGGTAAGTGGTCGTCTATTCTTGCTGTGATATGACTGGTCCACCTAGTGACTGCCATTATTTCTATCAACCTAGAGCTGACTTTTCTTCCTTCTCTATAGATCGTGGTAGAAAAATTGACAAAAAATGTAACGGAAGCTCACATCCGAGAGATCTTCGGGGGCTTTGGAGAGATAGACTATCTCGATCTTCCAATCAATAAAGCTTGTAAGGCTCACTTTTGACTCGCAATCTGAAATTTGTATGTTTCCTAACACTCTTGCAGTTATGACAAATAGGGGGACTGCGTATATTCTTTACTACGACCCCGCTGACGCAGAAGCAGCTATTGCCCACATGCATGAAGCTCAGCTTGACGGGGCTATCCTGAATGTCTCAATCGTTCTCCCTCGCCGCAAATTCTCACGCTCGCCACCTCCTGCATCAATTCGAGGGAATGGCAGTCGCCCTAGATACGGCCGAGGACCGTATGCAGGCCCGTCATCCCCACCCAGGCGGTATGGAGGCGGTCGACCCGCAGAACGTCACGACATCTATAGGCCCCAGACTGTATCAAGATCACGATCTCCTGTTCGTTCTCGGTCATACTCCTCTAGATCCCGGTCACCACCGCCACGCAGAGGTAGTCCTCGCTCAGACTCGCGGAATCACCGACGCCGGAGCCCAAGCTACAGCAGCTACGGTTACAGCAGTCGAAGTCGCAGTCCAAACCGGGACCGAGGCCACAATCGAAATTAAACATTGAACGCTTTGCGGTATTCTGTCTTGTTGTGTACTGGTTCACTTCTAACGAGGGTTGCGCGTGATCTTCGGTGCGGGCAACTGAATTTCTCTCTGGTCAGATATCCAGAATAGCTAGTTCTACACAGCAGTTAACAAATTCCACTACCACTTTTAATGTAAGATTTACACAAGATTTTACGTCCCTCAGGTAGCCATTATGTATCCTCGGTTGCTACTTATCTAATGATCAGGATGGACCTGGTTGGGTACTATACGAAACAGCCGTAGGGGCAAATATAACAGTAGGAGATGGAGATTTGGTATGCATGGCTTGAATAAAATGTATCTCCAAAGAGAGAGATAAATCATCAGAAGAAAGAACACCATCCGATGTACATTGACGCCAGTTTCTTCTTATCCGTTGCTTGTATGATCAATTCATCGACCTGGCCATCCACTGAAAGTGCAATGGGCTGCTTAGACATGAAGCCACGGAGTTTGTTTCGAACATCTTCCAAAACACCAGCCGGTGTGTCTGGGACATTCACATGGGTGCGACGCTGGGGTAAAGAGACTTGTTAGGAGTTGACTTGTTGAGAACCGGATTTGAAATGTACTCACTCTCTTCCCAATGAAATCGGTAGTTGGATCATGCAAAAATGTCTCAAGTACAGTCATCAAGGCGTCTTCATTTTGTCGCAGCAGGCTAAGCGTGATCTCACAAGTCCTTCTGAAGGGTCCTGTACCTTAGAGATTAGCTTAAGAGAAAACTTGAGGATATTTCAAAAGAAAAAAAAAAAAAGGCAACCGACCATTGTACCCGTAAGCGCCGAAAGCATCGATCATGTTATGAGTCAATCGGAATGGTACCACCTCGGGCTTTTCAAACGTTTGACCCTTGTCAAAGAGGCAATTGAAATCGACATGTAGGAGGCCGCCTGTTCCTTCTTCGAATGAGAGGTTTTCGCCATGTCGATCGCCCAGACTATGCATATACAATAAAACTGATCAGCATGATGGAACTGGGGTAATAGGTGAAAGCAGATAGAGAGCCCTCCAAGAGAGTACATACCCAAGAACATATCCCACCATTGACATTACAGCAGAGGACCGTGTATACCTTAGTCTCGCTGTAAACCATGCCTCTGTTTCAGGAAACATCTCGATGAACCATTCGTGAAGAACCGGTGGGAGCCTACAACTGTCAGTATAGTGGACTCATGATATCGGCACGGAAGATTTACTTGGCCAGGATGTTAGTGGTGAATAAGGGTAACTTTGCGAATGACCTATCAGCGCAGATCTCGTTCAAATTATGTCTGATCTCGTTGTACTATTGCTATGTTAATAACACAGCCTGGGTACCGTATTAGATGTGTACCTACGTTTGGTGAAATGCCTCTTTCGCGCAGCAACTTGATGACAATCTCTCTCAGTGTGCGGAGGTTATCAACCCATTCAATAAGGCCACATTCCTCATTTAGAGGTGTCACAGCGTATGTTTTGATGTCTGTTCTTGATTAGTCTTTTGGAATGGCCTAAAGTTCATTAAACCACTTACACATGCGCCGCTTGCTTGATTCCACGTCTCTCTTTAGGAACCGGTTGATCATGTTGTTAAATTCCATGAGACGTTGATCCTTGCGCAAATCGTCCTTGGGTTTGCAAAGTGCGTTATAGATCTTCCCGTCAGATCCTCGCAGGCTGATTTTGCGTGGCTTTTGAAGCGAGTTCAAAATCTGTGCTTCATCCAAAACAGCTAATTTCGGTTAGTTTATCCCTGCAGGAAGTGGAAGTCGGTAACCGTACCCTCAATAGTTGTTGGGTCCCGAGGGAAGGCCCTAAAACCTTTGATATATTCGATGTTTTGACTGACAGGAAGACTTGGGATCAACATTGCCTGGAAAGGCACCACTAATCGGCATGGCGCGACTTTATGATTAAACCCTAGATTGCGACCAAGTTGAACTCGGGATGACTTTTCCTCCACCGGAGCAAGGCAGAGTTGCAGTAGTTCCTCTGAGAACTTTGTACCTTGAGTGATCATGCGACGGATTTCCGATGCTATGGAGGATTCTCCCTTTGACTTGTTACCGTAGTCCTGAACAAGTTAGTCTCCTGTGCTCTGTTTTAGACGGATAATGCTTACTATGATCTTCTGCAGGCAATTATATCCCCTTTTAGCCCGCTCCTTATTGGAGGACTTGACAACGGCAAGGACTGTCCAGAGACCTTGCTGTGGGAAGTTGTGAACCGCCTTGGCTACAATCCGCGTTAACAGATCATAGACTGTCATGTTAGGGTGACATATTCTGGCAACCACTTGGGGTAGGATTGTGAACAGCTACAAACTGTCAGCGAGCTACCCGGGAAAATCACATCTCGTAAACCCACCAAAGCCGCCTGTAAGCGCTTATCGATGAATTTCTTTAGTTGTGCATGCATCTCATCCAGGCTTTTCTTGCGTTGCGCTTGTGTATGCTTTTGGAATTCCCTAATGCGTAGCGAACCGCTCATTAGCAACTATTTACCAATAGCCTCACCAGTAAACTATTTCTTACTCGTTATCGCCTCTTTTCGGATCAATAGGCTGTTCAACAATAGAGGCATGTTCGAGCCAGAGGGTCAGAAGCTTGGGTAAAGTCTGGAAGACATATTTGGTCCCATATGTTAGCGAGCGAAGATAGTTATCAATGACAAGCTTTGTGGCTTCTCCACTCAGGCTGTGTGATATTGGTCAGTACTAGGTAGGGAATGGGAGGTCTTGATAACTGACTATATTTGAGCTTCCTTTCCCATGGGCTTGGCCTTTTCAGACTCTAAAATCTTATTGTAATGCTTCCCCAGGTAGTAGTGTGCCCTTTCCCACCTGTTTTTTTTTTTCCCGTTAGAACTAACCACATCAAAGCGACGATATTCCAACTTACTTTGGATACAGCTTGATGGCCTCCCGGTATCTCTGAACAATGGCCTGAGAGTGGGTCTGACCAGCCCTGTCCGTCCATTTGGCTAGCATAAGATGGGCCTAGACAGGTCAGTATCCTAGTCCACGTGAACTGTATTGCATAACTCACGAGAGCTGTAGACTCATTTTGATGCTGCCCACGACCCGAAAGAAATGACATGGCTTCGATATCCACCGAAGAAGACGTACTCGGGTTAACTTCGTTAGCAGAAATTGCACCCTCTAGAGTCTGAATGGCTTTTCGATGATGCCCGTCTTTCCAGAGGAGTCGCGCGTGTTCAATAGAAGCTGATCTGTCTTTCAGACGTGCCGCATTGAGCATCGAGTGATAAGCTTGACTGCTGAAATTTCCTTTCCTGGAAAGGCGAGCACTGGTGAGCCATGCAGCAGATATATCAGAATCCGCAAATTCGCCCCTGTGTCGTGGTTTTAGCTGTCTGTTTCATGCTTTTGAGATCATGAACTCACGCTAGTTCCATTGTGGCTCGTCTCAATCCCAATAGGTATTGTTTATCGGAAAGGTAGCCACCCAAAACATCCAAGCGTCGGTCTAGGGTACCCAGCAGGGCGGAACGCGATTGACCTGACTGTGCTTTAGCAATGGATTCGACCTCCGACAAAGCATGTAACCGGAGCATGTCATCATGGCATGCTTGTAGTGATGCCACCGAGTTTGTGGTTAATGATCGGGCAACATTGAGCCGGAGCTCGTTGATTTTATCAGTGAATGCCTCATCTTGCTTTTGGCGAAGAGCATCAAGAGCTGAGCCTATCCCAACGTTGAACTCTTCAGTTCCTTGTTTGGCACAAAGGTCAAGATAACCCTCTAGCTTGTCCCATCTGCCCATTATCCATGAAGCTTCAACTGCAAAGGGGAGGAACCGTGAAGCCGCTGACTCATTTTCTTTAAGAACCTCGAAACGGGTGAGGATAGCATCTGGATAATGGTGAGCAAGACGATAGTTTATGCAGAGACTGTCTCATTTTTGATCTTACCTTGTTGGCCCGATTCTTTAAGGCAGGTCACAAGATTCCATTGCGCATCGACATTTTCAGGCTCCTTCTCCAGTTGCAGCTCATACCAACTCTGCGCCGTGGCCCATCTCCCAGCTTTCCGGTGCTCCAAGATCTGCTGGTCAATGTCTAGTGCAGACAAGTGGCTTGAAATGCCTTCGATTCCATCGGGTTCGTCAATCTGACTATAGATGTCTTGTAATCTTTGGTAGAGAGGTTCGAGACTGGATCGCTCTTGCGCCTCTCCGTGAACCTTGGATTTTCGAATGTACTGTTCCCAGTGGAAAAGCGCCTTCGAGAATGATTTACATTCAACAGCTCGCTTGGAGATGATCTCTGGCGGTATTGAGGATAAAAGATTTTCGACAGATTTGATCTGTGATGAGTATTTATCAATGAGCGCATCACGGCTTGGATCTTTATGGATACGACTCGTTTGGTTGGAACTGTGATTGAGGCCATTGAGATGTTTTTTCTTTCCTTGCAGCCATCTAGACAGGTAGTCTAGCACTTCAAAAACACTCTACCGTCGAAGAAAAGGTTCTTGTCAGTACTGGGAAACTCGATTTGATTCGACAGGGATTCTCACCTGGCTACTGCTTATGATTGTCTCGCGAGCATTGTTATTTGCCTCCGGAATAGGATGTGAAAGAACACTCATCAATTCGTGTTGAAGATTTTGTTGTTCTTGTTCGGTCCCTCCCACGATGCGATTCAGGACTGCGAATGGCAAAAGGAACGAAGAGATAGAAATGTCTTGACCCTTCACAACACGACTCGATATTGAGAAGACCATTTTTGCGTTGTCTCCATTCCCAGTTCGTAGAAGATCTTGCACCAGTGTTCGAAGCCACTCACTGTGAGTCAATTTAGGGGAAAAGAGCGGATAGTTGACCTCGGTATGATTGGTGACGACAGTGACTGTGTAGGTAGATGTAAGAAATGGCGTAAGAGTGTTGCGAACACTTTCCGGGAGCTCCATCCAGCGCTGATACTTCTCATCGCCTTGTAAATCGCGAGAGCGTTGGGTTAACACCGCATTCAGTTTGCAAAATTTGAGCAGGCCTTGCATGGCCCATGCCAAAAACCCTTGAGCCCTAGTATTGGAAGCAGACAAGAATGCTTCGACCAAAACATGCTGGAGGAAGAAAAGAATGAAAGCAACTGTTTCTTCCATTCTATCAAAGTTGGATAGGACAAGTATATCCTTCTTCTCTTTGATGGTTTCAACTCGGTTTGGATCGAGACAGCCGACAAGCCCTAGACATCGAGCCGACAACAAAGTAATGCTGTCTGAGGTATTACTGAATTTAACACAGCAGTCCAACAACGACCTAGTCAACTGAGCAATCACAGGGTCTGGTTGTTCGCTCAAAACAGAGTCATGGAGGAACTCCTCATTTGCTGACAGAAAAGGAGCCAACTCCATTAGAGCTTGCTCAACAACGGTGGCATTTTCACTCTGGCAGCGACGAATTAACGCCAGGAACTGGCTTCGAACGTCCATTTGCGCTTTCAGATCATTGATTTTGGCATCAAAGGCAGCCATCTCTGGAATGGATGCAAGCGAAGGCATGGTGTTGAAGGTATCTCGTACAAGACTCGAATGATTTGTCAAGATATGATCGATAAGTTGGCATGCGCGGTTCCTGCTCTCTTCGGTTAGGTTTCCCCAATATCTGATCACAATCGCTAGCGTCTGATCAATTATTGGCTCAAGGTCCTCCTCGCTAAGGGAACTGATCAATGTTTTCCACGCGGAGAATGCATAATCACACAGTTCCTCAATTTCCAGCGCGGATCGAAGACATGCACAAACCTGCGATATTTAGTAACAAAAATTAACCGATTCACATAGCTGTATACATACCTGAGGCAATGCACTGCTAACATGGCCCTGGGCAATATTGATCATTTCTTCTATGGCTTTGATATTTCTTCTCTTCTCTGCCAACGTCTGTCTAACTTGGAAGTCGTTAATGGCATTTGCGAATTGTGTGATGATACCGAGAACGTGCTCCTCGATGAAGTGACTTAGATCCGCTTTCTTTGACGAATTTCCATGTGAAATCTTGCGTGGAACAAATGTGGCTAATCGATGGAGAGCTTGGTTGAACTAAGGGGACTCTTATTAGCGGCCCAGAAGGGGCAAGGGAAAAACGAGAACATACCCTCTCTTTCTTTTGCTCGCCCGCATCGCCAAGGCTCTTCAGCAAGTCACAAGCAATGAGAATTGGTTCAATCCTCACCAACTCCGCCAAAGATCGACCCTTGAATGCGGGATCTATCTCTGCTAAAAGAGACATGATCATACCCTCCGGGTTATTTGATTGCTGAGATAAGAGGAAAGCGAGGATTGCAGCCAGGTTATTCTTCTCCGAGCAAACATCAAAGGCCGATTCGCCTTCGTTGCGACTAGCTCCAATTCTGCAAATGATGTCTCGTTTCCGTGTCAAAACTAGGTAGGGCAAGACATGGACTTCCGTCAGCCGTAGGAACCCATCAACCTTCATGCCAAGCAAATCACATAGCTGCTCAGCCATATATGGGCGAGATTGGAGGTTCTTGACCACAGTCACCGAAAGAGTCCTCCAGTAAGGCCGAAAGAGGCCAGCAGGTGTCAAGGAAGATTGTTGGGCAAGTTTGGATAACTAGATTCAGAAGTAAGCTGCCATTACACCTATAGGAATGAAGATCAGAGTAATCAGAAGTATAATCCCAGTAATACTCACTTCGTTGTAAGCCACGGCGCAAACGTAAGGGTTTGGATGACCAAGGTACTCCAACAACCGAAGAAGAATGATGTTTTTCTCTTCATCTTCCGAGACACTATATATAACAAATCGTGAGATAAAGTAACTAAATTTTGGGGGAGTAGAAACGCACGTTGCCAGTCCACAGAGTGTTATTATACAAGCTTCCTGTAGAGGCATGTCATCTTTTCCGGAAAGATTTTTAAGCCACTCGAGCACAACAACGAAATTGGCCCGCCGGATATCTGTTGGTAGATTTGAGCGCACGAAAGCTACCACTGAATGTCTATATAATTGTTAGTATCCATCGTGCCTTCAATACGGCTATGGAACCCACCCAGTCGCAACACGCAATTCTCTGATTGAGCTTCGGAGCGAATGAAGACAGAATTCTCCGGAGGCAGAGTTTGAAATATGCATTTGATTGGAGCTAGGGGCGTGCATCAGCATTCGTCTGAGCGCGACCATTGCAGATATCCGAGGGCCAGGGGTGCGCGTAAGCTTGGGTAGAATGAAATTGAATAGTGACCATATCTCCTCAAATGCGGGATGCTCCTCGTTTTCCGCACGATTATTCTGATACTGATCCGTATCGCATATTTGACAAAAGAGCGTGTCTCGCTTTATGACATCCGAGGGCCTCCTCAAAAGCTTCTCTGCCGTTGCGCAGCAAATTTTACCAAGGATTTCCAGTAGCTCGGTTTTTTTAGATTCGGAAAGTTCCTCATAGGATGTTCTTTTACCCAAATAAATCAGCATTTGACACATGGAGAGGTATCCCTTCGTCCACTTACTGGATGGAGGTGCGCAGATCTGCCATGGTTTTGCCACAGTCGGATTGAAGAATCGCTGATAAATTTCCCACAAGCAAATGAAATAGGCCATGATTGGGAGACCCGGTTGGTAGACCCGGAAGGCACAGCCGTTTCGATACCGGGGCATTTTCATTCGGCCTCGCTTGGTGTAAAACCCCGGCTCTCTGGAATGCCGTACCTGGCTCCTCAGAAACATCCCCTGGTAACCCTCTGGGTGAGCACACTGTCAGCGGCAGTGCTGTATCTAGAAGCTGGGCATACAATGTCCGGAGGGGACTCTATTCTGGTATTAGTTCGGTAACCCATCTGTGGAAGATATGAGAGACAGCTTACCCAGAGACATGACTCAAGGGACTGGAAGTTGGAATTGCCATCTTTGACTTCTGTCAACACCGGAAGCAGGGTTTCCCTCAATTGGTGCACTAGAGGCTGAGAGGACTTTGCAGCTTCAGTCAAATCGCACAAGAAGCGACCAAGGGTGACCTGGACAGAAGGCAGCTTTGCTATATTCTCAAGGCCCAGAAAGCCAGACAGGCATTGGGACCAGGTAGAAGTCAGGCTCATGCTTGGGAGCAGCCCAGCCAAAGTCGATCCTGGTAAGCAGCATCGGTGCAAATATGTCAAATATTGCAGAGGCACAGTTTCATCTTCCGAGGTAACCTGCGCTCCTTTTATTTGTAGCCACTCAATAATGACATGTCTTAGGCGATGAAACCCATTTAGTACCCACGAGAAGTTTTGGCGGAGGATGAGATCGTGATGTTTTGCATGGTATTGCATTTCGCCCCTCGGGTTGAACGAATCAAGCAATCGACATGCCAGAGATACAGTCTGTACAAAGCCTCCAAGGGCCATGTTGCTCTTGAATAATCCGGGGGAAAGACCTAGGTTTTGGATGTCCTCGATAAGCGATCCATCTGCGGCGGGTATCGACAACCATCTGAGGCGCGTATCCCAGGAATTGCTACGTTGGAATGTTTCAAGAGAGCACAAAATATCTACCAAATGTTAGCTTGGCCCAATGTTCTACATCATCGGGGGCAAGAAACGGACCGGACGTGCAAGCACGCAGAAATGCAGCAACGGCATAGCTTGCAGGCAATAAACGGGCTTGCTTGAACTGAGAATAAGCTAGGCTTGCGTAAAGAAGTTGGATTTTTTCTCGAACAGTTTCGGAGGTCCAGGTGGTGGCGAGTCGGATCAGTCGTGGGATTAGCCATGCAAATAGAGGAGCATGTATGTCCTCGCCCAAGATAAGAGGGTCAGAGGATTCCCACAGAGCTTGCGGAGCTTTCTCAATGCTAGCTTGAATGATATCTAAGCAGTCGAGGACTTGCCCTTCCAGATCTTGCTCTGATGTGCCCCCGTTCGGGCTAATCTCTAGGCCGGCCTTTAAGACAATGCATATGAGTTTGTTGACATCAGTGACATCTTCGTCAACGCGTAGTTGGGTTTGTATTTCATTAAGAAGTTCCTGGCGAAGCTGTGCAAATGTTTCCCGGGTTATGTGCGATTCATTCCCCTGGGTTGCAAGATGCGGCACGAAACGCGAAGCAAGGATAGACGAGGCAGGTTCAACTCTCCAAGCGTTCCCAGGCGCGGTGGCCCGTTCATTCTCTCCCTCGGTTGCCATATGGGATACACATATTCATAGTACTAGGTTTGAAAGAATTCAATTCGTGTTTAAAAACAAATTTTCGAGGTTGGGTTCGTGGGGATGTTTGGAAGTGCGCAGATACACGGGGACAGAGTTGATATATCGACACCTGAGGCGCCAAGTATCCACCATTACATGTGCGCATAGTACAGTAATTAATATCAGAGCTGGTGAACCGATTTTAGTAGTTCTATAAATTGGCCCTTGTATTTACCATATCAAATAATAGACTAATGGTATTCTTGAGGTCTTTAAATATATGGCTGTGATTTGGAATTCAAAATTGGCCCATAGTATATATATATATACAGATGTGTCATATAGAAAATACAAAGATAAATGACATTGAAAAAAGATACAAAACCAAGACATAAGAGATCCAAAAGATATCCCATATGAATATTCGTTGCATCAATGTTGGATCTTAGATTGGGGTTCAGAGTTGGTCAACCTCACTTGGAAATTTCGGGTGCCCACTGCTCTTTTTTTTTGCCCTCCTGACTCCTTCACTTCCCTCAATGAGATATACCTGACCAGTCACTGGAGTCAACTCAAACTAACTCAAAGTATAAAACCTACAGGAGAAATCTCAAATGGAGTTCAACGATGACACTGGGGAGGATTCGAGACATGGGTATTTTATGAAACAAGCCTTGTTGATGGTACGAAACTTCTTGCCGAGGAATTGAAACATGCTCATTCAAATACTAGGGCGAGAAAGCTCTTCAGTCAGGCGAAACCCCCGTTGGTTGTGTTCTGGTGCACAACAATCAAATTGTGGGAGTTGGCATGAACGACACAAATAGATCTATGAATGTGGGTGACCTCTTAAAGATCTCAATGTGAAGAAACCGTTGACAATATCTAGGGAACAAGACATGCTGAGTTTATAGCGATTGCAGAGATGCTCCAAAGTTACCCTAGGTCAGCATTGCAATCTACTGATCTCTACGTTACGGTCGAGCCTTGTGTGATGTGCGCTTCTGCCCTGAAACAATACCGCATTCGTAGTGTGTACTTTGGGTGTGCCAATGATCGATTTGGAGGCACTGGAGGTGTTCTTTCATTACATTCCGAGTCAGTACATCCCGACGCCAAATCGTATAAGGCTGATTTTAGATATAGCCCCTCAATTGACCCGTCATATCCTGTCTACGGCGGACTGTTTGAGAAAGAAGCAATTATGTTGCTGCGTCGTTTCTATATACAGGAGAACGAAAAAGGTAGGAATTAGGACGCACAAACCCCAACCTTGATTATTTGCTGATTACAATGTAGCTCCTAACCCCAGACCGAAAAAGAATCGGGAATTAAACACCAAATTCGAGAATGGCAATGAAGAAGCGCCAACCTGGTAGACCGCAAGGCTCGAATTCAAATGTGTCCATATATCGGTCTACTACGCAAGGCCGTTAGGATTGGATTGCATCCATTTCTGATACAGCTGGGGAATCATTAGGGGCATCTCCATATAAATACAAAAGGCGTTAAGGTTGATCAGAACGGGAATCTGTATTGTGAATATCAATTGCGCCCCCCAAAAAAAACACACACACAAAATCGGATATGTGTACAAATCTGCAACACTGAACGGAAAGTCTGCCCATCATTCTTTTTTTTCTCTCTAGCTGATGGTGTATCCTCATGAAGAGCTAGTGCGCTCTGCCTCCAATTCCCGCTCGGCCTGCTGGTAGTATTTGGCAGTGTCCACGCCGTGCTTGCAAAACAATCAGCATCATCCTTCCAGAACTGACTGGAATGGGGGACTAACCTGGTCATGGTTGACAAAATTGAACCATGGGACAACATGGATGAAAAGTTCTGAGTACCGGGAGTTGCGGGCTGCCATGCCTTGTAGATTGGACGACATCTGGGATTTACCGTACAGAGGCTCGCCCTTCTTGACCTTGTCGACCATCTCACGAGTATCCATTTCGACCTCTCTAGCATTCTCGGTGAAACCGTAAAAGCGCTCTATGAAGGTGTGAGTTGAGACGTCTAAAAGAAGCGGGCAAGAGTTTCGGTTGGGGGATATGGCTTACGGCAGGATCGCTGATAGAGAACATGAAGACCGCCAAGCAGACCAACAGCTGTGGCAAGTCGCATAACGGGAGCGAAGCCACCACGGCCTACATGCGACGGGCTTGCTCTCTCCATAATCCAGAACGAGATAGGAGCAGCCGAGGCCATACCGCCAGCCACGGCCCAGTCGGAAGGCCGGGCATATCCGAACACTCGTTTCAAATGCCTGATAAAGATGTGAGCTTGTGACAAATTCCTAGAATCCGGGGTATAGCGTACGGGTCGGAATCGATCAACTGTTGAATATGTTAGCCAAAAGACGTACGCAAACGAGCAGTTGGGGATGGAAAAGTAGTAGCCCTAGTTCATGATGGATCTATCATACCGGGTAGTCAGTATTAGCCCGCTTAGAGGGCACAATGGCTGTTTTGGTATCGGTCGCCATGTTGTTTGAAGTGTGGATGTGCAGGCATTCGAGGTTGAAGTTCTGGGAGTTGGAGGGAGGAGAATGACGCTAACCATATTGGGGTTAGTCCAATTAAGGCGGACAAGAGACCCGACGGCCAATCAGACCGCAGATAACAAACTACTCGCGTCACGCGTCAAAACGGCATCTGATTGTGGATACTTCAAGATAGTATCTCGCAAAAGTTGAATTGCTCCAATCCAGGTGCCACCTCTTTCTTTCCCGTTAACGTTTCAGTTATCGTGATCCTCTCATACTGGCTCCTTGTTATACTTACACCTACAACAGTATCTGTGTGCGAGTGGAACTATGGCGAACGCGCACGTTTCAGAACGAGGAAGTTCACCGACAGCGGGTGATTTGAACGATCTTTTTGATTATGACATCGGCTTAGATGAGGTTATCCTGGATAATAATGCTCCCAATACCAACAGCACCAAGGCTTCTGGGACAGGGGATTCGGCACTTGGTTTAGGTCTTGACGAAGAAGTTAAAGTCGCAAAGAAACGACAACCTGTGGCGAAACTAGATGAGGGCCGGTGAGTCTTACGTGCTACCCTGCTTCCTGACTGAAATCCCTCTTCTGATTCTGGAGAATACCTGGGACAATAATGCTAATAAATAGGCTAGTTTACTCTCACAACCAGGCATACCAAAACTGCGACATACTGCCAGGCAGAAGCTGAAATTCAAAGGCAAAGGACACGAGGTTCGTTCTCTTCTCTATTTGGCATACCCAAGGAATGATAGTGTAACTGACTTGGGTCTCCTATAGTTCAAGGATGCCGCACGGCTGCTCAACTTTTACCAGCTATGGCTCGATGATCTATTCCCACGCGCAAAATTCGCAGACGGTTTGACAATGATTGAGAAACTGGGACACTCGAAACGCATTCAGGCTATGCGAAAAGAATGGATAGACGAGGAGAAACCGAGACTTTTCGATAGCTCTGGACCTGCGTGGGAAGATCTTGAACACCCTCATGTTCCCAAGAACACTACAGATAAACCAACTGCAACTACCCAGGAACAGGAAGGAGCTACCGACCAAGACCTGTTCATTCTAGACCCAAACAAGAGCGCGCGGCCTACAATCAGCTATCCTGAGCCTGAGCCCGACGACGATGATTTAGATGATCTTCTCAGAGAACAGGATGAGCCAGTGATTGATTTCCCCGTCAACATGCGTGCCTCGCCTTCGCGGGCACCAGATGATGATAACGACGACTATGATGCTGAATACGAAGCGATGAAGGAGCTTGGGATGTAGTTGTGAAGGTACCTTGTACTATAGATTTTAATGACAGCGATGGAAATTAACCTCGGAACGAGCCTACTACCAGACTATCCCCGTTCAATCAAATTACCTAGGCCATGTATGGCTCAGATAGGAATTGCACAACTGGAACTCCGAGTGAGTTCTAAAACTAGAATTACGAGGAACAACACATTGGATCATATTGGACAGAGAATTAATTTCAAATAACATGCTAACGGATGTCAATAACCGGAGATTGCAAAGAAGCTCTTCATGAATGCTCTGGAAACGAGCAAACGCGACAAGGAGGAAAACGAGACATTAGATGTTACAGTGGGGAATAGGTCAATTGAATATGGATATTGACCTTACTCGCTGGCAGGCTCTGTGAACACGGAGAACTGACCACCAGCACCAGCCCAATTCAGTTTCTTTCCACGAGTAGCAGTGTTGTCGATGACGGTAGCCACCTCAATGTCATCTTGTGTACCTTGTCCAGTTTGGTACGTGGCGGAAAACCCCCATGACCATGCACGACCATCGGCATCGATAGCGAGAGAATGATCCGAGGCAGCCGCCACAACCTTGGCCTTAATGCCAGGAACGGGGGTAGGTGCGATCAGGATACGGGGACGATCGCGCTCATCTTTGATAACGGCATCATCGGCAAGTGTATCAATCTTCAAGCCACTTTGGAAACCGTCGATACGGCCCCAAACCAAGCAATCGCCGTCCCCAGCAATGGCAATCGAGTGATGAGCGCCACCGCAGATTTGCGAAATATTTCGGTTAGAAAGTGATTCGACAAGGGTGGGGTGGAGGATAGCGGCTTCGTCGTCGCCGGCGCCCTCGCGGATGGCCGTCGCACCGAAGCTGTTCAATCCCCAGGCATAGACATTTCCAGTGGTGTGAACAGCAAACGAGTGGTACTGGCCACTCCCGATGTGGACAATGTTCTTGGGAAGGCCAAACTCCCGAGGCTGAAGACCGTTCAATCTGTTGCGTTCCACGATCCTACGGCCGAGCTGATTCTGTTGCCCAGAGCCCCACGAGTAGACGCGACCTTGGTCGTTCAGGGCGAGAACGTGATTGGCTCCGCAAGTCAAGTGTGTGATCTTCTTCAAAGACGAGATCAAAGTCGGGGTCTTTTGAACGTGAGTAGACGCGTCAAATCCAAGGATTCCATCGTTGCTCTAGAATTGTAGTTAGTAAAAGAAATCCGATCCAAGATAGTCTGATCGTCTTACTCTGAAAGTGCCCCAGCCATAGACCAAACCATCATCAGTAAGGGCAAAGCTTGCGCTATCGGCAGCGGCGACTTCGACGAAGACAGTGCCTTCGGGAAAAGCGGTAGCGGGGATCGCAGTGGGAATAGACTCGCGGGGGTTCAATCCGCTGTCTTCATCATCCGAATCGGAATCGCTGTTGTTTTCAATATCTTTGTACCCACCATCCCATTCAGTTTCTCTTCCGAGTGCACCCTGGTCGTTCACTCCCCAGGAGAAGATCTTGTTGTCATGGGTAAGAGCTAGACAGTGCATGCCTCCGACAGCAACCTGTACAGCTCCGACCTCTTCGGCAGACAGAAGCTTGTTTAAACGTGGGCGTTTCACATCAATGGCATTCTTAGCTGTGCCCAAACCCAGCTCACCAGAGCTGCCCTCACCACAGACAAATACGTTCAACTTAGCCTTCGGAGCCTCATTGATGACAACTTTTGCCTTGGGCTTTGGCTGACGCGCTTGCGCGACACGAGACCTTTTGATTTCGCGCGGTTTCTCCTCGTCCTCATCAGCCTTGCGCTTCTTTGTAGCGGATGTAGATTGGGTGGAAGTTTTAGTAGGCTTCGTAGTCGATTTGGAAGATGTTGCAGTGGACTTCGCGGTGGACTTGGTAGTGGACTTGGTAGTGGACTTTGCAGGCTTTGCAGATTCTTTGACTGACTTTTCCGTCTTGGTCACGGTTGCCTGCCTCGCACTGGTACGAGCACTTCTCTTCGGCTCTGTCGAAGCCTCAACAGGCTTGGACGTCTTTTTCGGAGGCATTTTAACTTAGAGCTATTGGAAATAGCCAAGAATGAAAAAGAACAGGGGGGGAGAAATGTTTGAAGCTGAGATTGAAAGAAAAGGAAAAGGCGCGTAGAGGGTTTAAAAAAAAAGGGTGCCAAGCCAAAACAGCCAAAACAGCGAAAACATAGCACATTCTCCCCAGCCACCTTCAATGGGCTGATTCATTTTATTCATTTCGTATTATTTTTTATTATTTTATTATTTTTAATAGAGATTATAGAATGTTTATGAAAGACAATAGACAATAGAGACAATAGACAATAAAAGTCAATGACTTTCACGAATCTTTCCACACATAATCACATTCTGTCCCAATGGCATCCATTTAACATCTCGAGGATTCAATGCAGCATTGGGTGTACCCTCCTGATCTTGTTTTGAATCAGGACTGACATTCACTCCACCACGGCCAAGGTAGGTAGGAGCAACTGTCACAATAATTGAATCAATGAAACTTGTATACTCTGGGTTCAACAATTCACTCAGGACTGTGCCGCCACCCTCAATCATCACACTCTTAATACCTTCAGATGCCAAGGCACGAAAGACGGCTTCCCAGCGTAATCGCCAATGTTGATTGTATTCTACAATGCGGAGGAAATCTCCACCGTAGCCTTTGAGCATCACTAGTGTTTGGGGGTTGATTTGTGCTCCTGGGGATAACACAACCCATGGAGCTTTGCCTTTCCCTTCAACAGCAGTACGCAACATTCGGCATTCGGGATGAATAGGCCATCGGCCCATAGGATCAACGATCACTGGTCGTGGTTGCCACATTCTCCCCAGTCCTCCAAATCCACCGGCCCCTTCCAGACGACAATTTAGACCTGGATTATCTGCAAGTACAGTTCCTACTCCAACAAGAATGGCATCGTGCCGGGAGCGAAGATAGTGGGTCATCAATTTGGCCTCTGGTCCAGACAATACCGTCTGCATTCCTGGTTGAAGAGAGATCTTGGAGTCCATTGAAGATGCGTATGACAATGTGACATGAGGGAACTCCCGACGCTCCGAGTGATTGGGAAGATAAGGGTGTAAGAATTCTAGCGAAAATTGAGGGAATGATAGTGTGTCCGGGGGCAAAACTGACGAGGTCGAAGTCGAGGTTGGTTTTGTTTGGGAGGACACCTCGTTGACACCATCGGTGCTTTGAGTTTTAACAATACCATGACCCTTCTGGTATTCATAGCCCTCGTGTGCGACCAGATTCACCTCTGGGTTTTGTATACGCCACTTGGCGGAGATGTTGCGGACGTCCGTCACAGTGAAGAATCGCCCTCCAGCCTCCGCAAGCTTATCTGGTTCTTCTTGGAATTTGGTATAGATGGAAGAAGGGAGATATCCCTTCACAGATTCTTTTCGCGCGTACTCCATTAATCCCGAGTTCCGCTTCACTCGGTCAATGTAGTCGAGATCATGCGAATGGATACTGCAACTTCCCGGCGTTCTCGCGATAGTGACGGTCGAGTATGCGCCTTCGAACCGAACAACCTTGATTTGAAAGTTACAGATGCCTCCCTCTCGAACTCGTTTTTTGCGAGGACGCTTGCCCTCTGGCAAGGGGCGAGTTTCAGATGTGCGATGTGTTGGACGCCGTAACCGGCACATGTAATAGTCGGTGGTGCAATGGCCCTCTTTGCTCGCATTTGATCTTTGTTTGACCCACACATTATCAATAAAGGGCCAATATGTTTCAAATTCTTCGAGACTGATTTCTATCGGGTCCTTGCACTCGAATAGGACCTTGCGTATGCGCGCTAGGTTCGGCGGATTGTTGAAAAGGCTGGGGGTAGCCTTTGCACCTTGACTCATTGATGCACTGCTACTGTGAGGGTCTCCGATGGCCGCACTGCACCGTGTTGACTCATTCTCGCCACTGTGTAATGCTTGCTTATCAAGGGCACTGGATAAGTTGATCGGAGTTCTGATTTCGATTACGTCTTCGTCTATCGTGTCTCGTGCATCGCAGCCCCGTTCTGCCTCTTGGTCTGTTCCCAAAACGTCTTTTGCCTGCACCGAAACTTCATTGTGCAAGGATCTGGCCTCGCTGTCAGAACCCTCTAAGCTTGAGACGGAGGCGCTGGAGGCATGATCCATCCTGGAGAATCGTGCTAGAATATAGGTTTAGCTCCGTATTCCCAGCTATGGCAATCAAATGGCCATTTTACTGGAGAATAGCCCCAGATAGACATATATATAGAGAGCATATCAGAGCGAAGTGTCGGAGAAGGAGCGGGAAGAACTTAGTGGGGCGGAAGCATGAAGGCCCGGACGTTACCCACGTTGAGGTCCACATCGTATATCAAAACAACCTATGAAGATATAGTATGTATACAGAACGAAATTTGTTCGGTTTTAGAAAATAGGGATTATTAGTTCGATGTTCAATTCTCTTCGATTTGTTTTTTTTTTGTTTTTTTTTTTTTTTTTTTTGAAACAATTAAGCACAAAAAAAGTATCTCAGTATCTCAAATCACAACTAGTATGCCCCGATATCCGCCCCAGCACGAGCCAGAGTTTCATAGACTCGTGGCGGCAATTTGTACTTGACCATTCCCGAAAAGACCATGAGATCCTTGGCCATGACAAGCAAAGTATCCGCCAATCCCTGGCGCACTTCACTATCGTACATGCCAAAGGTCCGCTTTTGGCGTTCATAGCCAATACATGTAATGCTCCACATGATGACAGGCCCGACGTTGCGCGAAATGATTGGCGGCAAAGATGAGAAAGCTTGGGCTGTGCTTCGAATATACGACACGGAGCCCTGTGCTTGCAACGGAAGAATATTCAAAGCGTTGATAGCCTGTCACGTCCATTAGTAATTCAATCATCAAAGAAAACCATGGGTTGGAGGCACTTACATCAAGAGCTGGCGCCCATCTGCCGGCTTCAACCTGAGTCTTTGCTTCCATCATACGCAGCAGTAACCCACAAGCATCACGGTTGATCTGTCGGATTTGTCCATAGTACATTCTGTCCGAATCGTAAAGACTGATCATGTTCTTAGCAAGCACGCCTGGGTCATCCACAGCAGTCAAACTGAGGCTGCTTCCGGCTTCCACGGCCTCTGGCTGACTATCTTGATTTTGGTCGACCCTTGGGCGCAGGGGTTGTAGCTTCGGCATGGCACCGCCTAGCTCAACTGCAATTGCATCCGACAATGCACGGTTGATGATGTCAATGACACGATCATAGTTCTCTGCCAGGTGGTAAAGAAGCACGGCATCCGTGATCAATCCCTTATCGTCTGCAACGGCAGCAGCTTGAACCGTGATAGTCTTCAAGAATTCTTGTTGGTCAACCAATTTGATCAAATCGAGACGTTGCTCAATGGCTCCCTTGAGGCGAGTACCATCCGCCCGAATATCGCCAAGCAATTTGGCAAAGTCCCTAGTTTCTAGAATGAACTCTCGCAAGGCCTCATGACAGACTGATGCTTGGGACTTGCCCAGAGCACCTGGAAGATCTGCGTTCAGGCAGATCAATGTGAAGTAATCGATGGCAGCTTCAACAAATCCAGTGCGAAATTCTCGAGTGTATTGGGTCAAGAGATATCCGAAATTGATCTGGGGATATTGCTTGACTGTAAAGGAGACTGCGTAAAGCGAGAACGTTTAGCGTTAGCAAAATCAGAGTATTATGGCAGAAGGTGAGCTTACGAATTTCTTCACCAGAGGTGTAAAAGTCGGACACCCGCAAAAGGCCATAATAGGACAGGGCAATGGCGAAATGAACAGCAGTGACTGGGGCATAAGTGCCGAGATAATGCACAGCCTGCTCAAACATTCCACCCAATATCTGCAGCAGGAAGTAAGTTCCGTACCCGCCGGGTCCTTCGTTGCCTTTGACAAAGACTCTCTGGCCAATCTCCTGGATGTCGGTCTGAATATCCTCCAGGCCGAAGACGTCACCGGCAACCTCTTCAGCACGATCGTCCTCTCTTGCAAGACTGAACTGTAGCCACATCCAGTCCTCGACGGTCTGCTTCACACCATCCAAGCGACGACGGGAGAGATCACAGCGGCCAATGATTTTGTAACATGCCATTCGATAAGGATCGACTGTATTTTCAGGTGCGTTCCGTGAGCGTTGCTGGAACTCGCCGTTAATCTTTTGCTGCAAGTCCCGGGGCAGTCTTCTACTCTGCGCGTAGGTTGTCATGTAGGTCACAAATTTGTGATCTAAAGACCGGAACCCACTATCTCGGCTGACGTATTCAGCTGCCTCGGTCACGAAACCACACCGAAGAAGGTAGAAAATAAGAATCCAGCAGTAGTCTTGGTTCACCATTTGGAGCTCGGTACCATCAGGTGCCAGGTCCTTCCTCGCGGCTTGAAGACGAATGTAGGCGCGAATCTTGTTGATGACAGTTGGAATTCCTCCCAATTGTGCTTCCCGAGGGTTTTTAGCAATAGCCGTTTCCACTTCATCGAAGAATGTACTCTCAAGGAAACTCCTAGAGCCTTCAAGAATCTGTTTCCTGAGTTCGATTGCTTTCAGGGATTTGGACGATTCTTCGAGGTAATCTTCGGCATATTGTCTCTCTTTCACTGCTCCGGGCTCCGATGGGTTCATGATGCTAGGCTTTTCATGGACAATTCTTATCAAGGCTTGATATGCATTGAAAAGTTGCTGAGGTACCTGAAGAAACGATTAGCGGGACGGACATCAATGTTGCGAAGGGGGTTAAACTTACATCACCACCGGCTTGCACTTCAACACATGAAAACTCGTCGAGTACGGGGTAGCATTTTCCTTGGAGTCTGGCAAGGTTCAACTGTTGAACCTTCTCGGCGTAGTGGCCCATTTTCTCCCGTTGGAACCTGAGATCAGGCGAGTGAGATGCAGTCCCTTCATTTCGCTCTGTTGGGTCTTCAAATATTTGACGGTTTGTCAAGCCGGCCCCAGGTGTGCCAATCACCGACTTTTCGAGACCGGAACGCCCGAATACGCTTCTGCGGGATGCGGTCGAG